TAATAAGTATAATGAATAACATCAAAACAGAGTCAAAGATTACAAGTTAAGTCAGTATATAAAAGTCAAATTTAAAATGCAGTGTCGATATGTAACAAGTCAGTTTTTAAAAGATATCAGATTCGTCGCTTCCTATGCTAGAATGTCCTAATGTTGTCTTATGTTCTATGTGTCCAAATGTGTTCTATGTGATTTGAAAGCAAAGGATCGTTTTTTTTTAAATTTGTCTATCTGACAGAAGAGGTTTCCAATAAAGAATTGTTTGCGAATTTTTATATCTAAGTTAATGATTATTTCGAACTTTTAACACTTACTTTAAATAATTGGTGTAAAGCGATCAAGCTTGTTATGACATAGCGTGTCATATTTTGTACTGTACGAGCTCTCTCTCTCAAACGCAAGTGAGAGCTTTTGAATAAAATATAGGGGACAGATGTTCGCAGTGACAGTGATAATAAACAAATTCTTTTGTCTCTAATTATGGAAGTCCTTGGTAAGTTTGTTAAAATAAATACTTGATAAGTATCGAAATATATCTCGTCGAGTAGCCTAAGAGCAACCTAATGGATTTAATTTTAATAAAGATACAGAACTGTGCTCGACGAGATATATTTTGAGATACAAACTTACCAAGGACTTCCATAATTAGAAATAAAAGAATTTGTTTATATTATTATCACTGTCATCACGAACATCTGTCGCCTATTATATTTTATTCGCTTCCAACCAAAAGCTCTCATTTGTGTTTAAGAGCTAGTACAGCACAAAACATCACACTCTATGGTGCGACCAGCTTGGTCACCTCACGCCAATTACTGAAAATAAGTGTTAAAAGTTCGACAAAATGATTTATTAGCTTAGATATAAAAATTCACAAACAATTCTTTATCGGAAATCTCTTCTATCAAATAGACAAATTTAAATAAAACAGTCCTCTGCTTTTAAATCATTTGGAAATCTCTTCTATAAATATCAAAATTCTAGAAATATCGAAAATCTCTTCTACCAGATAGACAAATTAAAGAAAACGTTTCTTCGCTTTTAAATTATTTGGACACATAGAACATAAAACATCAGAACAAGGCACATAGGAAACGACGAATCTGCGACATCTTTTAGAAACTACATATCAACACTGCATTTTAATTTTGACTTTTATACACCGACTTAACTTGTAATCTTTAACTCCGTTTTGACGTTATTTATTATATTTATTACGATACCGAGCTATAATACCTATTTATGTACAAAAATGATATGTCAACCTTATATTATTTAGGGTTTTAAAATATAAACGTATTTATAATTTTAATTTATTTAATTTTACTTAATTTATTAATGTACAAGACGACTGAAAAGAATCAAGTCATGTCGAAACGTCTTGTTACGAATTTTTGTTAAATTTCGAAATATATTAATTTATACCAATATTCAAAAAATCTTTTGTTGGTTTATTGGCCTAAATCAACGTTCCGGTTTTAATAAATACGAGCGATAATTTTTATTAATCTTTTGATAGATTAACGACATCTAATACTAATTTTGAATTTATTTTTATATATAGATTGACAGAGTCCAGTAGTATATATACTCCAACAGAGCCTAAAGAACCAATTAGGAGGGCGGAGCCTACAGAGGAAGCTAAAACAGCAGGCCAAGCTGCCTTAGCTAGATTAGAAGCAAAAAAAAGTGATAAACCAAGATTTAACACGTGCGTAATATTTAAGATTATTTTTATTTATTTTACACATGTTTTATATATTACTATTTAATATATAAAATTATACTAGTTTACTGTAAAAAATTATATTGTACCAGACTAGGTGTTTCTAGAGTTTTGATTGGTGAAAATAATACTGTAAACTGTAAAGTGCAAGCCAAAAAATTCCAGCACATTAAATTACTAAAATAATTGAGATTTAATGTCAAAAAATGGCTTTTTTTTAACGATATTTGACATTTTTTGTGAAGAAGGTTAACATTTTGAAATTCTGATCAAAAGTCATGAATATTGTTCATCCCCTATAAAATGCTTGTTTTATAATAAAATAAGGTATTGAAATAAAAAAAATGCATTTTATAGGGGGTGATCAATACATTCGTAACTTCTGATAGAAATTTCAATTACCATTAACCTTCTTTATAAAAAAAAAGTGAAATATCGTCGAAAAATACATTTTTTTGGACATCAAACCTCAATTATCTTATTGTTAGAAACTTAACGTGCTGGAGAAATTTGGCATTGTTTTCAGCATCTAAAAATCTATGAAAAACACGTAGTCCTGTTCAAAGTAAAAAAAAATTTTGTAAACTAGTGTTATCATAGTTTTTGTTGTGTCAATCTGATTAATATCAATACTATTTACAGATCATATGCTGCCATTCAAGCACGTGTTAAACGTGAACTGGAATTGGAAAGAAAAGCACAGCAGAGTTTACAGCAGACGAAAGATGCACCGTTGAAAGAGAAGAAAGATATAGTTGTAGATCCTTCTATTTTTGCAGTTACTGACGTGTTCTTCCGTTGCCCGTATTTGTCTGATGAAATATTGTTGCGAGATGAGTGGAAAAAGAAAATAAGAGAATTTCTATATGAACAATTAATGGGAGAGGAAGCAGGATTAACAGCATGTCTAATTATTCAAAGTTGCAATTCCGGAAAAGAGAAGATCGAAAGCTGTGTAGAAACACTTGGCAAATATTTGGACAACATTATTAACAATCCCGATGTTGAAAAATATTGGAAAATCAGAATGTGTAACAGAATATTTCAGGTAATATTGCATTTTCAATAGTTTGTTTAAAATAATAAACTTTAAAATAGAGCTTATTATAAGCATAACAACTTATATTCTTATAGGAAAAAGTTTTGCCTATTGAAGGAGCATTAGATTTCTTAAAAGCAGCTGGTTTTGAACAGAAAAAATTGCTACATAACGAGAATGAAGAAGACTTCTTGGTATGGAGTTCTAACAATTGTAACATTGAGAATCTTACGATGTTAAATGAAGCATTAATATCTGCTGAACCCATTCCTATCGAGTTAGACAGGAATTTACAAGTATTAATGCCTAGTCAAGCTCGTGTGAGAAATGAATTGCCACCCAGCTTCTTCACGATAAGTCCAGAAGAAATAAAAAAAGAACAACAGTTGCGGTAAGTTTATATGTAATATATTTAATGACATAGGGGTTTTTGGAAAATATTTGGATAACGTAATTAAATGAAAACAAATATTATTAGGACGGAAGCCGTAGAAAGAAACCAAATGCTACGAACGAAGGCAATGAGGGAGAAAGATGAGCAGCGTGTACTTAGAAGATATAAATTCGCTGTACTTCGCATTAAATTTCCAGATGGAATAATATTGCAAGGTACTTTCTCGGTACACGAAAAGTTCCAGAATGTAACCGAATTTGTTACTGAAAATTTGGTCGACGATAAAGTGTCCTTTTTGTTGATAACACCGGACGGTATTAAGCTAGTAGAAGAATGTCAAGCAAAGACGCTCTTAGAATTACGGCTAATTCCTACAGCTATATTGGAATTTTCCTGGAATGTAAACGACAAGGAAAGTATGCCTAAGAGATATTTGAAAGAAGATGTACTTGCTTATATACAAGAAGTTTGAAAATAATATATTCTGGTACAGATAATAATTCAAAACGCTTTTTTTTTAAATATTTTCTTGACACTTTTAGCATTATTGTCATAATTTTTTGGTCATTCCAGTTTTTTGAGAATTTTTTTCTAATATATTGTGTATATTTTCTCATATTGTTTATATCAAAACCCCAATTGTGTAAGAAAAGTGAACAAAGTTCTGATTAGATTTTGAATAAATTTATTATTATTGAAGTGTGTGCATATTTATCTATTCGATTATCTAAAATATATAAATAAATGTAAAGACCTATTTTACCATGTAATTTTACTATAATATATTTCAATTTTATTGATATATGTAAATAAGCATAATAATATTTAATGATATTAATCTAATCCTACATATCTTGCGATAATGCTTATTTAGAATATTCCACATACGTACCTAATTTGGGAATACATGTATATGGTTGTATAAATAATGAATATATATATATCGATGCATATATGGAGCAAATATGATTATGCACACATATTGGCATTGTATATATCAGGAATTTGATTTTATGTTCAAATTTTACAATTGTCAGATTTATTTCCATCCGTGTCCCATCCACATTTTAGTATGTTGCGCCTTCACATTTGTACGCAATATAGCATGAAGTATGAAGAGTTGCCTGCTCTTAGGGAAACCGGTTATTCGTGATGAACCGCAGACAGTTTTGTGTCTCTCAGTAATTACCCAAAACCAGTTTGGGGATTACTTACACCGTCCGCCCTCAATAGTATTTGTAGGTGTGTATGTGTGTATATATGAAATGATGATTCCACTCTTATAACGGTACCGTGACAAAGTAGCGTACAAACGGTAATGTGCGTATGAATACTTCGATTTATATTTTGTAGAGAGAAAACTCGGATCTTCTTATGTACCAATTAAGATGAAAAATATATCGACGAGTAGCAAATTATAATATAACATTAATTAAATGTGTATGTTGTTTTTTAAACATTTAGATTAACTTTTAGCAAAATATTAAAAATACTAAAAAACGAAACGGCAATTAAAATTGCTTTTGCATTCATCAGAAGTTCAGATTTTTGAATAATGCAGATATAAATACATTTAATTGTATCATTTCGGATCTTCTTACCATAAGCGCACAAAAAAAAACGATTTTACTGCAAAAGATCTTAAAATTTAGCAGAATACAGATTTGAAAATAATTTTGTTGATCAAAATAATTACGTAGGAAATTCAATATTAATGAGTAATGCTGCAAAAAATTATCTGTATTATAGCAACCAGTTTAAATTTCCAACATAATTACTTTGATGTGGTTCGACAAAATTATTTTTAGATCTGTATCCAACTAAATTTTAGCATCTTTCAGCAAAATTGTTCTTTCCGTGAGAGTCTGTCATGAATATAATTCTATATTTATTACAGAATATTGATTGAGATTATAAGATGAGACTAATTCGATAATTAGACGCACTTAATAACGGTGTAAAAAGGTTTTTGATCCAGGTGGATTGAAGCGTCATTCACGCGCGATTTCACGAAAGTTGATTCGCGTGCAATATCGACCGACACTCCCAAATGCGTGTGTAAAACGTAATACGCACCGGCTGTTGCGGCTGTTCCGTATTGTTGTATGTCATACGCTTTTTTCAGCCGCATTGTTCGAACCGGACCGCTCGCGTTTCCTGTTGCGTGCTCGGATAGGGTTTAACGTTGCATTTAGGCGCGTGCAACTTGGCACGAGGAATTTTTATTTTTCACGTACGTGCATACTTAACACGTGAGGAGAGGAAGACATTTTCGTAAAAGATAAAATAATTGTATGAAAAGATAAAATGAATTGCACTGCTAATAGGTTTCTCTCTAGAGTACTCTAGACAATGTACTTTTCTGTGTCATTGTGTTTCAGAGATTTCCTTCTTTCTTTCTTACTCGATTTTATTTTATTTTGATTGACACGTGTTTGCATATTTATTTTATTACACATCACAAGTACTAAAATAATACTTATTTTTCAATATTCAATCAGGAGAAGAAAAAATTCATTATAGAATAGATCAATTGATTAACAAACTGAATTCTATCAGTAATGATGTTTCTTTTATGTCTTGTTGACCATTCTCTAAGAATTAGTTATTGCTGTTAAATAATATATGTATGCACGAGATTATTTTAATAACGTATTATATTTTGAAATTTTTTAAATTGCATAATACGAAACATTTGTCGATTAATAATACGATTAATACTACATTAATAATACGAGACACTTGTATAAATAAATATATCGTTTACCTCTATTTCCGTATACTAAACTAACAAAAATTTTTAAGAACCGCAATTTCTAGAATTTCAAATTTGAAGATTTTAATGTGCAAATTTGAATTTGAAATGAAAATAGATAAAAAGATTAGTAGAATATAATTAGAAATTGCACTATCTAGCGATTTCAAGAAATTTCTATTATTTTATTTATTTTTTGATTTCTCAAAAATTTGACATCATTATATAGATGAAGCAAGTTATAACCCCAAATATTTCAATTTAAAAAATTAGAACTGTCTTTTATTTATATATTTCATATTGATCACATACATCATTTTAAACACCGACAAAGCATTACACTACTATAAAAGATATCGTTATTGCAAAGATAACAAATATATCGACGAATAGCAAATTATATAATAACATTAATTAAATGTGTATATTGTTCTTTAAACATTTAGATTAACTTTTAGTAAAACATTAAAAATACTAAAAAACGAAAAAATTGCTTTTGCATTCATCACTTCAGAAATTCAGATTTTTTGAATATTGCAAGTATAAGTACATTTATTTGTATCACATTGGGAAAACGTATTGCAGCATGTGATGTATGACACATAGCTTAATTAATAAAATTTATTTTACAATTAGATAAAGTTTTATATTTTATTAAAAAATCGGCTGTTTCATGTGTAACAATATCATGACTTAAAATTAATGCCTTAAAATTTGTATCGTATTAGAATCTTTTAATAATATGGAATGGTTTTCTCCGCAGTTTTCTGTCTGCGATAATGGACTTTCTTGTCGAAGTTTTGCATTGTCCTTCGATTTACCGCAGCCTCGTGGTTGGTTTCTCATCTCGATCTCTGCATTGCACGTTGTGGTTAGATCGGTGGTTCTCCGACCCGCTTTCTTCATACTACAAAGGTATAGGAGACGGTTGTCAATCCTGCTTCGAATACGACAAATTTATTGCAACGTGTAAACGTCAAGAATATTTATTCTTGTCAAACGGGAATTTAACGCGAAGAAGAATTGTTTCGACGTTTTAAACTTTGTTGTATGCGGTTTTAAAAATATTTTTAATAATAATCATCGTGGAACAGGCAACGCCCGGAATAGAAATCTCCCTAAAAAAAGTTTATAAATATAAATATACAAATATGTAAAAATGTATGTATAAATATAAATATACAAATATATAAATATGTCAGGATAAGAGAGGCCAAAGACGAGCAAAATATAGGTGTCAGTTAATATTTAAATATAACTATATGATTTTACATACTCTAGCTTCAACGAACTGCAAGCCGTTACTATCGAATTTAACGCAGCATTTGATTGAAAAGATCGGAAGAGCACACG